TCCCATCTCCTTGAACATTGTGCCTCCTCACTCTCTTGCCCCTTTCACCCAACATGCTTGTGCCGAAATAATATTCTATAGATACAACATTCATATATTACCAAACATAGCCATCAATCTTTTTTGCCTACTCCTAAACCTGTGAATTGATCCGTAAACACCATCCACCATTTGGGTATCTGTGATCTTCGTAATGTGTGCTATTTCTTCCATCATTGGGTCTATCTTCCCTTGGATTCTTTCTCTTTATACCGTGTTTTACGTCCCTAAACAGTAACTGCTCCATACCTCGGGAATTTACTATTTCAGACGAATTTTTACCCATCTCGATGTTTCGTAGGACTATTTTATGCTTCTAGACAGAGGAATTTTTAGTGAGAGAAAAATGTAAAAGAAAAGGCATAATGGAACTCGCTTAACAGTGTGGTGATAGCTGACAAAGCCAGGCAATTGAGACAAGTTCTAAATTAAAAATCTGTGTTAGAATAATTATGGCTCAAGGAAATTGATACTAAAATTTCTTTTTATTTTAAACTCAATTTAGAAGTCTTGTGTTGTTTGATGGTACGTGTACAAACACCTCCATATCTCATTCTCTATCACGCGGTTTAGCACTCTGTACCTCCAGCCAACACTCCCATAACCTTATGCTCCACTACAATTTTTCACGTCCATCTTTCTGAGTTTATGTTGATAAATACTTCTGATTCTTGAGCAACTGAGCTCCTAATATCTACTAAACTACTTTGCATGTTTTAAATTGTTATATTTTCATAGATGGATCATCATTATTGTTAGTCTTGAGCTATAATTATCTGCAATGGCTTATATTCTTCATTTTCGAAAGCTTTGCTTTCTTGAGCCTGTCAATTTTTCTTCATGTGATCAATCAAAAACCAATGAGAAGAAATCAATTGAGATGCCCAAAGTTGAGATTGAAAATCAAGGTGCTATTTTTGCTGTGTTAGAAGAGAACCCGAAAAAGGAGGAAGCACAAGAAACAGCCCAAAGAATGGAGGTGCATGGATTTATGTTGTTGGATAATTGGTTACATGTGCACCACCTGGTGGTTGCTCTTGTTTCTATTTCATTGCTTGCCCGATAATTTGCCTGGACTTAAGGTGCCTGAACGACCCGAAGAAAGGCTGAAGCATGAAGGCCTAATCGCCCTCCATCCCATTGTTTTGGTGCCCAGCATTATCACCGGAGGACTGGAGCTCTGGGAGGGAAAGCCTTGTTATGATGGTCTTTTTCGCAGGCGGCTTTGGGGTGGTAGCTTTATAGAGATATTCAAGAGGTTTGAATTGCATAATTGGATTTTGTTTTGTGTTTCAATTTTAGGATATTGATTAAGATTTTGACACCCAATTGAGCATTTTGATGAAATTTTAGGCCTATGTGTTGGTTGGAGCATCTATCCTTGGACAATGAAACAGGGCTTGATCCTCCAGGGATTCGAGTTCGGGGCTATCCCCGAACTGGTTGCAGCTGACTATTTTGCTCCTGAATATTTTGTATGTGGCACGCATTGGCTATGAGGGAAAGAATATGTCTATGGTTGCTTTTGATTGGAGATTATCCTTTCAAAATACAGAGGTACAAGGTACCTTCGCTTGCCACATTCATGGTTTATGCTAAATTTAAATAAATGGGACCATTTTTAACCCTTAAGACGAGGTGGTTCAATACTGGCGAGAGATCAGATTTGAATGTTCATTCCTTATTTTATTGTTTATCAATGTTAAGAATTAGGTATGTATAAGACAGTTTGAATTGATTTGAGCTTTATCTAATACACTTATAATTGAGGCATGATCAGATAAGGGACCAAACGCTTTTTAGATTGAAGAGCAAAATTGAGCTTGTGTATGTAACAAATGGCAATAAAAAAGTGGGGGTGGTGCCTCATTCAATGGGGATAATCTATTTTCTGCACTTCCTTAAATGGGTTGAATCACCTCCACCCATGGGAGGAGGTGGTGGCCCTAGTTGGTGTGCTAAACACATTAAAGCAATAATGAACATCAGTCCAGCGTTTCTTGGCGTCCCGAAAGCTGTTGATAATGTCCTGTCTGCTGAGAGCAAAGATGTCGCTTTTATCAGGTTAGTCTTTATTATTATTATTATTATTATTATTATTATTATTATTATTATTATAAATCTTTTATTAATTAACAAAAATGTATTTAATTTCCTGAATGTGATATTACCGATGTATTTTGTCATCATTTTACTTGTGCAAAGAAATTATTTAGTGTTCCTTTTTATGTTTACCTGGCGAAATAATTATATATTACATTGTCCACAGTAGAACAGAAGGTAGTTTCATTGCAATGTAAATATAAAGAATCCGTGGAAAAAACATTATGGCATAAGGTACTCAACTTCTGCTTTTGATAATTGCAGTGCTATGGCTCCAGGTCTTTTAGATTTCGACTTTCTTTACCTTCAAACTCTAGTGAATGTCATGTGCGTCTCAAGAACATAGGACTCCATAATCTCTTTGATACCTAAAGGAGGAGAGACCATTTGGGGGTAACTTGGATTGGTCTCCAGAAGAAGGCCATGTATGCAATTCAACAAAGAAAAGGTACAATAATGGGAAGAATGAAAATAATAGTGGAGGGACCAATTTTCGAGTACAAGAACTAACAAAGTATAGACGGATTATTTCTTTTGGGAAGGCATCGTTGGACTTGCTGTCATCACAACTCCCTGTCATTGGTTCTAAGGTATAACTTGTATTACACCCCTGACCAAACCACTTCGGAACAACGGCCACACCACTCTCCGAAGTGACAGGTATCCATTCGAAGTGGTTCCGAAGTGATGCCCACTCTTGACGACCTCAACATGACACGCTGTAAGGTGAAGAGTAGATCCACTAAAGTAATCGAAGTGTCCCTCAACTCCGAAGCATTGGGCACTCCGAGGTACCCCCAGGCAGATCTCTCCGTTGTCACTGTCAAAAAGATATCTGTCAGGATCTCCTTTGCCTCCAAGGATCAATTGATGTGACATCTTCATAGATCTAGTTGATGTGACATATTGACTTTATGTCAACTCAACTCAGAAGAACTAATTGTCCGCCTACTCTAGACGCGGCTAATTGACGCCTATGAGCAGACGCCTTACACCATTAAATGCATACACGTGTCTCACATCCAACAGTGCTCTACGTCTATAAATACCTAAGGTTTGACAAGAGACAAAGGTAATGAAACTCACACAACTTAGCTCTTCATACTAAGAAATATATATTCTCTTCCTCACTCTCTTACACAACTTGAGCACTGTTCCAATCACCCAACGCTGACTTGACCGTCGGAGTGTATGCGGTCGCCACCACCACCACTGGTTCCGACCGTGTGCTTCTGACCATGCTTTACTATGCACAGGGAGGATTACATGGAGTAGCTATCCGTTTGCCACGTAGAGGGTCCAATTCTCGGGGTCAACAACTTCCCACTGTCTTTTACATTGCAATTCAAGATTACTCTTTTCTCTTACAATATTGAATGACGTCAAATGAATAATAAGCCCAACAAAGCTTTGCTAAATGAATCTCTTGAAGTCATTTGAGTTTCAAACTAAATGAGCCTAGAAACAGGAATTTGTTCGCAGGAATTTCGCAGTGATAGCTCCCCAAATTCCTATTCATCGTGTGGCGATGTATGGACGGAATATAATGAGATGAGCCAGGAAAGCATCCAAAAAATTGCTGAGAACAAAGCATACACTGTGAGAACTTTATTGGATCTACTTCGCTTTATTGCTCCAAAGATGATGAAGCGAGCTGAAGCTCACTTCTCACACAGAATAGCTGATGACTTAGACGATCCAAATTACAACTATTATAAGTGCTGGTCTAATCCACTTGAGACGAAGTAAGCATAAAGATTCTGTACTTGATAAGGGCTTGGAAATGTTAACAAGCATAAACATATGTTTCATTTATTTATTTTTAATGTAGACTTTATTCAGGTTGCTTGATGCTCCATATATGGGGTCGGAATTCCTACCGAAAGATCTTATGTGTACAAACTATCGCCTCGTGGTAGGTGCAAGACCATTCCTCTACAAATTGATAGCTCAACAGATGGACGTGACAATAAATGCTTAAAAGGTGGCGTATACTTTTCAGATGGAGACGAGAGTGTACCTGTTTTGAGCGCGTGTTTCATGTGTGCAAAATGGTGGAAAGAAAAAACACGATTCAACCCGTCTGGCATTGCTACATATATAGGAGAGTATGAGCACAAGCCACCAGCTAGTTTGCTTGAAGGGAGAGGACTAGAGAGTGGGGCTCATGTCGAATAATGGGGAATGTTGCCTTGATTGAGGATATGTTACGTGTAGCTGCTGGAGCATTCGGTGCAAAGGTGGGGAGTGACATAATTCATTCCGATATCAAGAAAATGTGCGAGAAAATAAATATTCGACTGTAATTACAGAATACACGATTTTCATGGAGAGTCGAACGCCCTAACACAACGAAAATTAGAGACAATCAAGCATCAAGAACAATCAAACAGCTGAATTTCGAACAATAACTTTGACATTGACTGTAAAATTCTGATTGGAAGTATGTAATGTTGTCACTACTTGTAATCAAATAAACACTTTTTTTTTTCCCTATCTTTTCTTTGCACAATTGAATAGTCTGAAGTCCACTAATTTCAAATGAGAATACATGGGAAAATTTTCCATATCATTTTAATAAAATTATGCCGGGTGCTTGAACATTGGTTGGAGGAAATGTCTCTACCCTTCTTACCCAGACAAGTAAAGGTTTTTAAAGATGATTCGCTTCATCAAATTAAACCACATGCTCTACCGCTAAGTGGGCTTTCATAATTTCCTTTGAATTTCATTCTTGTGAACGTATTTTTCAGACAAGATACATTTGAGGATTAACATTTTTTTAATTGACACAAAAATCGTACTACGTGTAAAATTTAATTTTATTTCTTGCCATCGTTTAAATCAATATACTGTAATTTAACAAATTGACCGCGAGTTTTTCCCATTGCATCATAAGTAGAAAAGGTGAAATACAGCAATCGATCTTTATACATAGCTTAAGTTAAGCAAAGTTATATGGTATTTGGGTGCATTACGAGTAAATTATAAGCCCTATATGAAACTTATTAAAGTTATTGTTTATAGTGCATTAGAACACAACAAAATGCTCCACCTTGCTATACTCTGTAACCAGAAATTGGCTATTTCTACTCAGCTCAAGCTGCAATAATGGTAGGTAGTAAGCCATTGTAGCGAAGAAATGCATCAGGCGAAGGTTCACGTCCACGAAATTCTAGGAAAACCAGTAATGTAAAAGAAGATAACTTTATATAATGCAAATTTTCTACTCAAAAGGGGGGGAAATGAATATTACGATAAGCATTTTTCGTTATGGATGGAAAGTAGGGGTTGCTCTAAGGTGAAGACATATTGGCATGTTAGGATTAGAGAAAAACTATGAAGTTTAGGATTTAAGATTCATTAACATGCTTAAACAAATAAACAATGATTCCAACTTTACGCATTCTAAGCCTGAATATTAACATGTTCTCCAGATATTTGATGCACTCGAACAAAATCACTTGCCCTAGCAAATTGCAGAAAACATAATTTTCTTTATGCTGCATTACCTCGTTGGGCAATTTTCCACCTCCAAGAGCAAGGATCGTTTCTCGAAATCTGATGCCCATTTCTCTAAGAGTCTGTTCAAGAAGATGGAAATGATTTGAGATAATTACACAAGTTATGAGGTTCACAAAAGCATTGATAGGTACCATCGAGGGAAAAAAGCACTAATACAACAGAATGCAAATCCTACAGCCTCACCTGGTCATTGTCTAACCCAGCCTCCTCAAATGCTGCAAAGGCATCATAAGCTAACACCTCAGCCCACTGAAACATAAGGATGCTTGATATTAAGATGTGAGAAAAAGGTATAAGTATAAAAAAGTTTCTTGCTTAATTAAAAATGACAAATTTGTTTTGGAGATGTTAATCTGAAATCTAGTCAGACATGCAAACTCACAGTATTCTTAGAAACATATATATGCGTTAAGAGTAAAAAGGTAAGCTTAAAGAAATTGTCGTACTTCTATCACTATACTTGCAAAATAAATCTTTATACAGAAATAGGAACATCAAACACAACTGGATGTGACCAAGATACGGAAGCTATTAATAATATCATGAATACTGAATCTGAAACTTTTATAATTGATTTGCAAGGAATGAACTTCGACTAAAACTTTTATAAATGCAAATAGAGTAATTGAAGCCACCTGATAACTGTAATATCCTGCTGCATATTTATCTGTAATTTGCATATTCAAATAAGAAATTATCAATTTGTTAAGAGGATTGTACATTGGCTCGAAAAATGGAATAGTGAGCTACCAGCGAAGATGTGATCAAAACTACAAAGAAATCTGTCCTCTGGAAGTAGTGGGATTATGTGTGTCTTTTTCCCTACCCTTTGATCAATATCATATATAGACTCTGGTCCACCTGGTACATAATTTGAGTGAAGCTCCAAATCAACGCCAGCATAACGCAGCTGAAAACAAAATGGTATATAAGTTATACACGAAAATCAGTTATAACCCTTTAATTTCTTTAATGTGAGGTATTACAAATCCTTCTGGATATTTTTAGTAAGGAATTTCCAGATAGGTAAAAACCTCAGTTCCCCCTATTTAGCTTTAAGTTATTCTATTAATTTGAATAATTAATCAAGAAGTGACAGATAAACTTTGAGAATCATTTTAATATCACTTTTTCTGAGTGATGCTATTCATCAATTTGATATGATAAGCGACTGCAACTTTAATATTACCCATATAAGTAAACGATAATCAATCAACTATTAACAAAGCCCAAATAGAGAGACGAAATAATATATAATTAGATTAGTGTCTGCACACTTGGTGGGACTCGAAATCAGAATTGTGTAATCCTTGAGCCTCAGCCTTAGCCACCAGAACTATAGGCATCATTGGCTTCCAAATTTACCTGACGAAGTAGCTGTGAACCTGCCCTAAATGTCCTTGCTGAAAGAATGCTTAAGCATAAGTCTTCGGGAAGACTTTCTCCAGTTTCATAATGCTTGGCAATGCTCATAATTATATCCCTGTGAAAGGAAAATTCCATGAACCACCGACCCTAGATAATGAATTCGTTAAGAGATATATGAATATACAAATTAATGAATTTGGTGGAGTTATAATTAGAACAAAAATGTTTGTTCCTCTCTATAACAGGTTAAACCTTTGGATCAAGCGGTTCAAGTGAACTATTAGCAATAATAAATACAGAAAGACTGAAGTTTTTGTGTTGTAAGTCGTAGAAGAAGCAAGAATATGATGTTCAGCATCTCTAGGAGAAGATTCAAATCTCAGACCATATAGTCTAATTCGAACGTCATGAGAGTTTTAAGTTACATCTGCCAAAAATATGAGAATCTAATTATCATGCATAAATTTTAGTCTAATTCGAACGTCATGAGAGTTTTAAGTTACATCTGCCAAAAATATGAGAATCTAATTATCATGCACCACAATGTTATATCATTCTCTATAGCACATTGTAATGTGTGACCTATAGTTGTGGTAGAGAGTGCTTATTTCTTCAGTACTATGCTATACAATGGCTAATAGAACAAGTGAATAAAATGGTGAAGTCTGAATACAGGTAATTATCTTCGAATATAATATCTGAAAAATAGTTTATCCATATATGAACTCTAGACTTTGAAGTTGAGAGCTGACTCGGTGACGAAAACACCATGCCTGCTTATCATAATTTGACAATTACAGGGTTTTAATGCTGAACATACAAAAATTTGCCAGCATTTCTCAAAAGGATACGCAACCAAATCTTAATTTAGAAAGGCAAAATGTAATGCTATGTATTTTCTGAAAATTGATCAGAATACAGATCAATAAATTGAGTCAAATTTTAAGATCTCTATCCCCAAAAGGACAAATGAGAAGCTACGATTGTAGGTGTAGATGGAAATTCACACTAGAGAGGTAGGATTACTCAAGCTGAAGGAAAAATTGGTGGATGTCCAGGGCTTCATTTGAAGGAGGACCTGCAATGAAAATATGTGTATACTATGTGACAGTGTTAAGCATAGAGAGTTTGCCGATTAAGAATATGACGTGAAGTGATATGGCCTTTCCTAATTTTATGCAACTACTAGGGGATAAGATTTGTAGGGTCAACAATTTTTTAATACTATAAAACAATAGCTGTAGCTATTATTAAATATTCTGTTCCCATTTGTAGGCTGCCATTTTCCTTTAGTTTTCTGCGTATAGCTGTATAAACCAGATGAAATTAGAGATACGATTCAATTTCAAATTTTTTCTCAAAAATGAAAATGCAGAAAAAATTATATAAATTACTTTACCTTTGGTAACACCAATTCTCCATGAATTGAGAAGGTATTTCGACAGCGTCCCATTCTATCCCCTTTGAGCCAGATACAAGACCTTCATCTTGTTTGGTTAGCATATGTTGAAGTGCATGGCCAAACTCATGGAAGACTGCCTCAACCTGATTTTGTTCATTAAATAGTCGGCAAGTAACTCAATTCACAGTAGCATCCATAAAACTCATGAAATTTTGCACTGCTACTTATTCAGTGTTATTCTTTTTCAATACTAAAAAACAACAGCCACAACAATGGCGCATAAGGTAGGTACTGAATATATACCTCACGGATGGTCATTAGACTCGGCTTGTCCTGAGTTGGAGGTGTCTGATTGCACACAATGTGAGCAATTGGCAATCTGGTAGAGGCACCGTCACACGAGAGCACACGAGTGCGACCAACAACCACATCCATCCAAGCGCCACCACGTTTCTCTGAGGGACGGCTGTATGGATCAAAATAGAAGTATGCTATGGGACTACCTGAACAGTCATTAATTTTGTAAAAGCAGACATCCTTATTCCAAACCTACAAAAATTTAAGCATAAAATGCACTAACACGTCTTCAAATCACAAACAAAAACAAGCACTAGGTTGATGAAGTTTCAAGGAATTTACTGGGGCTGCGCCATCAGCAGGCTCTATGTCAATGTCAAACAGCTTCCTTGTCAGTTTAAAAAGACCATCTATCACCTTTGGTAAAGACAAGTACGGTCGTAGCTCTTCCTGCAAAAATTGCATTGAAGAAAACTAAATTAAAACCTCTAGATGATTGCTTTCCCTTGGAGTAATAGAAACTAGAGTAGACGTATTTATGATAATGGACATGAAAAGCACCTGCGATATTGATGCTATAAACATGAAGAGATTAGATGTTTTAACAGGCTCAAATCAGATCGAAGAGAGTTTAATATCATATGTTCACGAGAAGGGAATAAGGAAAAACAATAAAGTTGGTTTTAAAACTAAATTAGGAGAATGCATTTTTCTTTTGGAGTCAATTATGTCGCACTCCCTTGAACCAATTTAGGTTCAAATTAATGAGAAACAGAAAAAAGATGAACATTTTAAGACAACTTGACTGCTTTCTTGCTATAAGCTCTGCAATATGAGTGCAGATGATGCATCTGATAAGAAAGCACTAATTGGTAAGTTTTTTATAATCTGCTTGATACCAGTGGATCTAGGATGCTTCAGGAACAAAATTATCTGCGTAATTCTAGGAACAGCAAGTTGGTAAGACTAAGGATGCATCCTGAAGCGTGACATGAATAAGCTTTTACGAAGCAATGAAACAGCTATAAGATAGCTTCAGAAGAGAACCAAACTTATACATCTGAACATGTTTTTGGTTCCTATTTTGAAAATTGGGCCAGGAATTTCACCCCTTTCAGCAAGTAAAGTGAAAATTGAAATCATTCTGAAGCTTTGAACAAAGAACAGAGAAAAGCCAACCTCATTTATGTCATATTTAGACTCACGAAGACGTTCACTCCAGAAGTTAATGTCCCAGTGATTTAAATCTTTAGCTTCTTCAGCACCATGAGCAATGGCAAAATTTCTAAGGTCTTCCATGTCTGAAGTATTAACAGAAAAATCGGGAAACAATATGTAAAACAACCAGTTATGATATGACTGTCATGCCACTGTTGTACGCAAAACAACCACAAAGAAACAATAGTAGAGCAAATCAATAAGCCCAAATGATGCCTTTTTTACCATGTGCCTTTTGGGCCCTTACAAAAGTTCCTTATCTCCACGCCCACCTAAATTAGACTTGAGTTGGGATATTACATTCCCATTCATTGCAAATGTGAAATATTGATTGTGGCATGTCAGTGCTCAATCAATCCACTCCCATCATAGTATGAAGCGCCAGGGAATTCTGGGCCTAGAGCAATGATGAAATATTTCAGTGGCCCTAAATGTTGCCACCTTGAGGTTATTATGACCCTTACAGCACTCATTATTTCAGGAGTGACCTACACTATACAATTTTTCACATCTGAGGTTTAAAAGGGAAGCTTCTAAATCCACAATTCAACATATTTAGGCTACATCAATCGTATCAAATGGTACTGGTACTTACCATAGGCATTTTAGTCCTTTACTTATAAAGAATTCCTCGAGCTAACACCCGGAAGATGTGGGTCAAGAGTTGGGTATTACAATCATAACAGGCAGTAAGACTGCTCTGGGCCATTCAGAAATAAGTCTCAATTCTAATTATGAATATATTTATCAACTAGATCTAAGGAACATTCAATATTTTCAATGTGAATATCAACATGGTAGATTCAATTATTAGAAGAAATGGATGGCAACATCTTTGGCATTTCTCTTGAGATTACTAGGTGATATTGATACTAGTTTGATTCAAAATAACACATGTGCATTTTTTAAGGTAAACACTCACCCTTAATTGCAGGATTCCAAGAAGCACTATGAAGCTTATCTAGAAGATCCTTTGCTTTATCAATGGTGGCCATTTTTGTTTCCATGCTCACCTAATATTCATATTTATGATCTTGTAATAAATGCGAAAGAGAATATTAGAAAAACCATCTTGCATACCTCTGCAAAGTTACTGTAGCCTAGAAGCTTTGCTTCCTCCAACCTGAGCTCCAATATGCGTTCTATAATTGGGTTATTGTTTAGAGTTCCATCAGAGGCACGGGTCACATGAGCACGGTAAACTTCCTCTCTTAAAGATCTATTGCAAGAATGTTGCAAAACAGAGCGATAGCTTGGACCGTCCAATGTAATAGCCCATGGGCCATCATCAGCTGTGGCCTTTGCATATCCCTGCAATGACCAAGAAACACCACGAACCAAATGGAAAATGAGAAGAAAGTATATGACTATTGTAATGTCAAAATGTATTTACTCATTAAAGTTGGTGGTTAATAAGTGATACCTTGAGAACCGCTTTCTCTGCAGCTACAGTAAGTGCAGTCAAAGGTATACCTTCAACTTCCTTTTTATCTGTAATAATTTTCTCAAACATTTTAGTCGCATCAATAATATTCTCTTCGAATTTCTGGGAAAGCTTTGCCAACTCCTGCAGGTCAGCTAAAAGATTTAGGGAAAAAAAAAAGAAGTCTACTAATTGTCAAATTTAGTTGACAGATTTCCATCAACAGTCTACAAGTTATATAGGTATGTGAATTTCAGGAAACATTCTGATCAATTCAACTGGTAGTAAAGAACAAATATATGCGATATTTCAACTAAGGAATCAGTGGAATTCATTCAACAGGTTTCTAGTTCATCATTGTATAGTTCCCTATACTCATTCTCCAGTACTTGCCTGTGTCTGGGAGGGCTTCTCAGCAAAAAGGTCACCGTTGGCAACAAATTTATTACTGTTTCCAGCCAACATTTCTGACCCATCCTCTCACGGGTGTGTCCCAACTGACCACCCAGCAGTTATAATTTCAATTTTAATCAGATTGAAAAATCTGTACCAGACAGTCCCTTATGCATTTACACTAAGTTTAAAGTCTTCTACACATGAAAGATCGATATGCAACCTAAAAACTTTGACATTGTGTTGAAACAAAAAATAAAGGACGAAATATTTTTTTGCGTTAGAGGGTAGCATGCAAAATGTATTTTGTAATTTAGGTTTCCACAATAAATCACCAATTGTATTTGGTTAAAGCGTTCTCTTTCAATATCTTCAAGAGAAACTCCATCCAGAACTGCTTCTTTCAATTTTACTGCATAAAAGTCAAAAATGATAGGTAATGAATTTTAACTGTCATACTTATAGAAAGCATAAAGCAATATCCCTATACAGAAGTCAGTTAACTCTGGTAAAAAATGCACAGACAATTCATAAGTTGATCACCCTTTTAAGATAGGTCTCAGACTGCTCCTTCCTGTTGATTAGGATTTTCCTAAAGAGCATATCTCCCCCTCTCAACTGATGCTCAGTTCTTGGGGAACTTGTTTGTGGCACAATACTGGCATTTAAGTGGAGAACGTTCCAATAAATAATGGCGCCAACCTCACATACAATGTAAGATATAAAGTATCCAAGCATACATTGTGGCAAATTATTTTCTGACTTTATGGTAAAGTTAAACCATCAAGGCTAACTTGACTATTGGAGTTCACAAGCTGGGTGCCATATCGGTGTCAAGTTCATGATAATTAGGTATTCACATCATTGACTGGCATATTCTAGCATCTACAGTAACAACTGCCAACTCACTCTGGACCTAAGCAATTTGTATAGATTCGAAAATACAATGACACAATCTGACTTGGTTTTAAGTAAAACTTAATGTTGTCCCCATTTTTCTTAAATTAATATACTTCTTTCCATTGTTGCTCATGGTTTCTTTTCCTTTTTCAGCGAACGTAATTCAGTAGAATTTCCAATACATTATCATTATCTTAGCAAATTTTGAAACATCCTGATTTATAGCATATTAACCAATTATTATCAAGTTAAAGCTTGTTTAAAAGGAAATTATTGCTGTGCGACTGTAAGGTAATCCAGTATGAGCATTATGTAAATTTTTTTTATTTCAATGATTTATGGTCATCTAATCTTTTGAATTTATTTATGTTATTTGGACATGCCGCTTTACTAAAAATTCTTCCATAACGAACTAGTAAATTTCTATTGAAGCCCATAACTATATAATCTTGATTTTATAATTTTATCTGCAAATATAAGCAGATGAAAAATGTGAAGTACTTTCCTCATTTCTTATTGAATCTCCTGTTTATATTTTGTTGGCAAGTAGGAGTTTTTTTCCATAGCATGATTCCACATTAGTTATTTGTTTACTCTAAGATGAAAATGAAACAAAATTTCAATCAAAGCCTATTACATGAAATGCTTTGAGTGCATAAAATAAAATAAAACAATAATGCAGAGCTTCAAATTTTGGCTAAACAAAGTCATACAACATAATCAATTTGAAGCAAAGACTATTCCTGGCTATGATTAAAGAAAAAATTATAACTTTTAAACTTAGCCAGGCATGTCTAAGCTTTAAAGTTAACTGTTAATTATCATTTTTTTCCCCATCATATGCTCACCTTTTTTTTTTTTTTTTTAGAATTTTTTACTTCTAAAAATAGTTTCCCAATCCGAAGAATCCCGAATGGCTCTAAATGCATTGTAGATGGGCTTACTCTGTCCTAATTTCAACTGAAACTCAACTTTTTTGGGCTACAGAAAGTAGAAGGAAAAAAAAAAATCAATCAAAATTAACTCAACCAGAAGCATATTTATCTGATTATAAAATCATTTACTGTACCTGCACTTGTTCAATTGCAGCCCGGAGCTCAGGAGAGTCCTTGACGGAACTAAGATGATTCACTATTCCCCAAACTACAGAGAGCCTATCTATGATCTTTTCCAATGGCACAACCAGTTTTGGCCATGTGGGCTCTACTGTATTTTCCAATTCAATAAAGTCATTTTCCTGCAAGTCCATTGAAATAAATATCTTTTTCGAATATCCCATAAATTATATGATCCACTATACTGTAATATATCCGATTTGATCAAATTTTAAGCAAAGGATTCTGAGGTGTTCAACTTACAAGTTTTCTTAGCAGAGATTGCATTGCGGGGCGAACATGTCTTGGTTCTATGATATCGTATGGAGGGAATATGAAGCTCTGTAGTAATGGATTATCCACTGACTCCATGGACAGAAATGTCAAGTTTTGCAAGAGGATGCAGTGAAGGAAGTCGTTGACTCGCTGGGCAGCTGCCTGTTTTTCTTTTCATTTTTGGCAAGTCATTGTCATTGGCCATAGGCGGACCCGAAACTTTTGTATTGTGGCTTTGGCAAGTCATTGTCATTGGCCATAGGCGGACCCGGAACTTTTGTATTGTGGGGCCAAAAATTAAAATGTAATTTATAAAAAATAAAAAAGCTAATATTATTAATAAAAATAAGTCAATACACTACTATAATTATAATCCATGCATCTTGATACTTTGAAAATTTAATATAATTATATCATTAGCAATATTGTCAAAATGATTTTACTATTTATATAGTTTTGTTTACCAAGTCATTAACAAATGTTGAGCCGGTAGCGAGTAAATTAAGTTGAATGTAAAAAGTAAATGAATTGAAATAAAATTCAAATTCAATCTATAAAGTAAATGATATTCAAATTTAATTCGAAAGTAATTTAAATTACATTTAATTTATAACGATTCAAAATGTTTTTGTGTCATACTCTTGTGAAATTTGCTAATAAAACGATGTAAAATATATTGACGAATTTATTGTGCAAAAATAATAAATGTTAATGAAATAATTAATCGTTTTTTTTAAAAAAGACGAGTTAAACGTCTTTTTTAGAGACGTACGTTTGACGCGCGTTTAACTCTTTTTGATATACCTTTTTGGACCATTTGATATGATTACGATTTAGTGCTCGAAACAAGCTTTTAAGCAACGTAGGCTATTTGTAGATTCAACTAGCTTACGGTCGTTGACGAATTTTTAAAATTAGCATATTTTTCAAATTCTTGAAATATTAGTTTGGAATGACTTACTTTGACACACTGTAACTTTGTTGCACTTGGCAGTTTCACACACCATCAATGAGCGAAAAATTAGGACGTGAACACTTCGAAATTATATTAGTATTACAATATTTTGACTTCATTTGACATACTCTAATAAACCTATGAAAGCAAACCATGAAGGAAACGATAATAGGTTTTAAAAATAAAAAATAATAAATTGCGGGATCATTTGATCCCATGTGGGTTTGCCCATGAGTGACAAGCAAGTCATGCCGTTTGTTAACTCTATCAAATTTTGTTCACTTGAGTGATAAATAGGTTACACAATGCATAGTTTAATAATCGTTTCTATATATTTTTAAGTTCAGTTATGAAATGGTAATACTAGCAAAGTTCAGTTATCATTAAGATACATATTTTATTCCAATTATTAAAATAATAACACATAACAAAGTTCAATGACCATTCTAATAATTTACCCAGCTAGCAAACTCTACCTCAACGTGTTTTATACAAACACGGAACACCAGATTATGGGATTGTAGAAGGAGAGAAACTTTATCAAGTTTAATACCAAAGTAATCGACTACTTGTTGAAACCATGTGATGTCAGCTAAAACAATTGCCAAGGCACGATGCTTAGTCCCAATACTCGAGAGACTCTAGATTATTTTTTTGATGATTGGTCAATGCAATTTAAATTGAGAAATATACCCAAAAAAAAGTTGCACTTCTTCTAACGATGGGACCTCGTGTCCTATTTATATCACGAAGGTAGAGCTTTGTGATAAGTATCGTATATCATATGTGAGCATTGTTGAGATGTTGTAGAATATGCTTGACAATATAAAGATCCTTCATTGAATTTTAGAATTGTTGGCAAACTAATTTAACAGCGTGGATGAGATCAGGTCTCGTGAACGTTTAGAAGTGAAGCGACCAATATAGTCGTCGACATATCGTATCTTGTGTGTGAGGTTGGCGAACTAAATTTCCTTGACAAATCATTTTTTGATCTTCAACCTCACACACAATATACAAGCATAAATCCTTTATCTCCATGAAGAACATCTTGGAGAAGTGCATTTTTAGATGATTCAAAGTGACTTAAGAAAAAGTACTATCTAAGTTTATTTTAATTTTTTAATATTTAAAACTATAGTTAGAACATACCCCACAAATATATTTATTCCAAAAATGGATTTCATAATGAATAATTAATCTATCCGAAGCCCGTCTATGATGCATCCTTTTCATACCACTACAATATTGACAACTCAAATCGCCAACCTGATCAAAGAAACGGGAATATCTAAGCCATATATAATAATAATAATAATAATAATAATAATAATAATAATAAATTATAAATAACCGTGTCCACAATAATCTGCTAACCATTCACAACCACCACCTTCGTCCTCCCCTTCCCTCTCACAAAAAAAATCTCACTGTATATATGTACATTTCCAGATTCTAGAATCATTAGTTGATTGGATAGGATTGGATTTTGTTAACAAAAGAGATCAATATATGTATGTAATTGAATTTGTAGCTGTCGCATGAATTTCTCACTCGAAAATGGCCTCTGTAGCTCTACTTTCTTCACATCATTCCCCGAATCCCTTGCAATTTCCAGTTCGCTACCCTCAATTTCATCTTATTTTGACGGGAATTGAACCATCGCAGTCAAAATGCGAGTTTTCTGGAAAATTGTTGTTGTTGCAAAGGAGTAAGGATTTCCTGCACTCGATTCCACTGAAGAAAGGTGCAATTAAGTGTTTTTCGGAATCCAAGGAGAGGGAGAGTGTGACAGAAGTATTAAATAAGGATGGGGATGATGTAGTCGGTGATGACGTTTCTGATGGGGAGGTGGCTTGTCAGGAGTTCTCTAACGGTTCTGTTGGTTCGGTGAGGAGTCCGATCTCGAATTCTGTCTCTGGGGATTCGTTGAATCTTGGAATTCGTGAACCTGTCTATGAGGTAATTTTCCTGAAGTGCTTGTTTGTTAATTGAATTTTTTATTTCTGATAATTGATTGTCTCGAATATATATGAAAGTAACTTGTGGTGATGGAATGGAAAATTTGTTATTGCTGTTCTTTTTAATTTGGTAAAATTTGGCGTTGGAAATGTTACATTGCATGTTATTTTATTTGGTAATATAAAAATCAACTTAGCAAACCAGCAATGTAATTAGAATCAGGAAGAACCATAGGTCAGTGCATCCAGATCCATAAGAGTTCAATATGATGTTAAAAAAAAAATCGAGAGGACAAAGATTGCCTTAGAAGTAGAATAAATTCCACTGATTTATAAGTTCAGAATTGTCACGTCTTCTTCTGTGTCAAGTGCATGTTCAGAGAGATTTCAGATTGAATGTATCAAAGTATTTCTCACCAAAATTTTGAAGGGAAGCCACACAAATCTGGCTCTCTATGTATGAATTTTTCAATTCACTTCACAGAATGAAACAATGTTGCTGGTGATTCTGTGTGTTATAAGTGCAGACACTATTTTTATTAGTTTAATAATTTGTAATTGCTTTGTCCTAGAAATCAAAGAATGATAGAATTTTAAGCCAAGAGTTTCTTGTGATTCCAACAGACATTGCAAGGCAGAGCTTATGTTTGTCTTATCCTTCCATTGGTCCATTTTAGGCATATAAACTAATAAATGAAGCAGCTGAATTCTCTATGGTTAATATTAAGCTTAATTCATGGTACACTTTTTCATGTTTATGTTCATTTACTGTTCCCCATCAACAGGTTGTGGAAGTAAGGTCAGATGGGAATGTATCTACCAGAAAAATAATGAGACGACACTTGTTGAAGTCAAGCGGTGAGTAATAAGTTTGTGATCTACTGAGCTCAGTTCACGTTTTTGGAGTTGGAAAATATCAATAAAGTTCAGTTCTGTAGTGGCTTATATCTCTACATCTCACATTAATTTATTGTTTGGTAAAGTAATAATCAGTTGATTCTCATCTCTGAAATTGTATTGCAATTTTTGAATTTAGCAGACATGTATGCAATTAATCTTCCTTCTTTATTTGAGAATGTTTATAGAGTTCATAAACTTTTTCTTTCCTGGTCAATTAGTCTATATGAATCAGTGATGACAATGGACTTTAATCAAGTTTGTTAATTCTTCTTCCCTATTGTTTCTATTATTGTTCTCTGGACACGATATTTCTTTTTTTACAACAGGTCTCCGTCCTCGAGATATTAGAAGTGTTGATCCATCATTGTGGTTAACCAACTCAATGCCGTCTTTGCTGGTACCGATAATGAATTGCTTTCTGCTACAGTCTACATTGTGCAATTATTTAGCAATATGGTTGTGTGCATAGCCAATCTTGATTGGTTTATACAGCCATATACCGCCTTTTTTTCATAGTTGTGTAACAATATTGCAATTACATCAACGATCACTTTCTTTTGGTTTCTTGTTCTTATAGACAAAATTAAAAAGAAAAAGGATAGCTTCCATAGAATTCCAAATCCATGAAATTTAGTTAGGATGGAACTGCTGCTTAAAAAATAAGGTTTTGCTGCTTGGCAATATGATCAGGAGAAGTTCTATGACTCAAAATTTTATGTAGAAATAAGTTTAAAAACTGGAAAGTAATAACACTTCTTGGAGTTTGTTGCAATCTCTGTAGCACGGACACTCTAACTTGGGTAGTGTATCTGTGTCTGATACGTGTCAATACCGACACTCTACAATAATCATTATTCTTTCTTACTATAGCGATTATATATTTTTAACTCAAAGTTATTAACAAATAACAAATAAGTACTCATATTTAAAAGATTTCGATAAGAAAAATCAATAATAAGTATACAACTAAATTTAAACTACATAAATGAAGAATTTTAAATAATTTAATGAACGTGTCGGCAACGTATTGTGTCTGACACGCGTGTCCGTGTCAGTGCATCATAAGTTGCAATTGTATCTCTATGCCTTTTCGTGCAAACTGGTTAAAGTTGGCACTGGATGATTGTTCCTCCCACCTCAACAGTACTTTCATACTATACTATCAGAAAACTTAAAACTTACAATGTATAATTCATACAATATTCACTGGTTCAAATTGATTTACATTTGTTTTTCTGTATTTTATCAAGGTACGAGAGCATGCAATTTTGCTCAACTTGGGCTCTTTGCGAGCGATAGCAATGCAAGAAAATGTTTATATATTCAACTATAATCGGTATCTCTTTCAAAATCAATAGTCTTGATATTTTTGTTTGAGATTTTATTGTATTTAATTGATATTTGACATAGTTTCTCATCAATTTAATATTTGTTTCTTGGTTATCAATAGTAAAGGTGGAAAAGCTTTTATTGATGCATTGTTGCCCCGCCTAAATCCAAAGACCATGAATGGAGGACCATCAATGCCATTTGTCCTTGAGGTTAGTTTCCTACTAGTAATTTTTTCTACTTCAATAACTCAACTTGACAATTAATGGTTGGGGGCTGCATTGGTATTTGAGACCAAACTCTCCCAGATTTTAAATGATTTTGGCATTAAGATTGTGGATTTTCACGAAGTCCATGAATGCCTAGATGAGAAAATTACAGTTTACTTTCAAGTTTCACCGGATTAAAATTGCAAAAAATAAGCTTTTAAGCAAGATCTAATATAATTATTGTCCTATAGGGAACTGCCGATTGCCATACAATAAAAAGGAGACTTTCAAATGTTAAATAATGGTATTGGGTGTTTTCTTCTTTTTCCCTTTCTTTTTAGGTGTCTCATTTGTTAAACAAGACTTCTTTTATTATTCAATGTTCTGAAAAGACTACGAAGAGACTATAAAATAGTGTGAAAACTACCCTCCATAAAGAAACTAAATAACAATTATATCTAACAGTCTTTTGCCTCATCAGTAACTTTCTTTTTCAAATTTCATTTCAAGATAAAGTGGACGCTATTCTTGTACATATTTGCTGCTAGTCCGAGCAGTCCAGTAGTTACAGAGCATTTTATCTATCATCAAATGTGTAGTCAATTCATCTATAGCAATATTTTTACATTTCAATCATCATGCTTAATGTTGACGATCCATAATTGTAAAGAAGGAGAAATAGCTGCTTAAATGTTTCCTCCATCCTAGCCTCATTTCTTTATTTGTGAATAAAATTTTTACTTATTGCAAAACAATGAAGAGTTGCTGTTATTTTTGTTTGCGTTGGAAACTAATATGCCCTTCTGCAGAAACTATTATTTCAAGTCCTTTAGCAGTGTTTTGTTAACCACCGCATTGTTCATCTATACAGTGAACCTGAAATGTTGATTGTTTAAAAAATCTGACCCATTTCCAATGTGAAATTATTAGGTGGTTGAGGCAGCACTACATTCACGGATACAGCGTTTGGAGCAGAGATTATGGGATTTAGAACCACGTGTGAGTATGGGAACGTAGTGAGTTAAGGTTTTCTAGTCCTCATTTCCCTGCCAATTGTCAAGTGTCTTTGGTGGGGGTATCTTGGGTCTTCTCACTTCTCCCTAAATTTTTTGTACTGAGGAGAAAGGTGAGAACCATGAGAGATCAATTGATTCAATTGCTAACTCTGCTCAAAATATTCCCTTTTTTTAATTCTATAGTACTTTTTTTTAAATAACAAAACTGAAACAGCTGTTTGCATTATGTAGAAGAATACTACGTGGGTCTCTCTATATATGACAATAGTGTCTTATTTCTTGGATAAAATGCAGTTTTCAATCCTATATAAACATCCTTCAATTTGAGACACCTTTTTTGTCAAATCAACAGTTTTAAAAAACAGTATTATTTACTCTTTTGATAATGGTAACATATACATAAAAAGAGAAATGGACTGAACATGCATAACTTAAAGAATTTCTCACCACCACAAAAAAATCAACCAAAATTCGAAGAAATAATTAATGAAAGTCATGTTTTTGACATATATCTTACTCCTGTTATAAAGAAAACACTAAGAACTTAATTTAGGCTTTTAGAACATTCTATCTTCCTACTTTCATTGTCAACAACTGAATGAGCTACCTTTGCTTCAGGTGCAAGCATTACTTGAGGCTTTGCCAAACAGATTGACAGGTGACATATTGGAGGAACTTCGAATTAGCAAGCAGAGATTGGTATATAATTTTTCCTCTGATTTGGTAACATATCCTCCATCTAAATTATTGATGTATAATAACCATGTATACTTCTCTTAAAGGTTGAATTGGGCTCACGAGCGGGAGCACTCAAACAAATGCTGCTTGATATTCTTGAGGACACACATGAAATACGACGCATTTGTATTATGGGAAGAAACTGTACCCTTCAGAAAAATGATGAGATGGAATGCTCTGTTCCCCTGGAAAAGCAGATTGCTGAGGGTAAGTCATGTAAGGTTGATTCATCATCATAGTAAATCAAGTTGTGGAATTGAACATATTGTCAATTTGGCAATCTAATACTGATTTGAGTGTGTCTTCTGCAGAGGAGGAAGAAGAAATTGAAATGCTTTTAGAAAACTATCTCCAAAGGTAGTTCATGGCATCCTTCTATTCTATTCAGAGTATATAGGGTGGCTGCTGGCTACCTTTTGCATTGTGTGATATCATTTATTTCTACTTTTAACAGAAATCATGCGGGAAGCATCACTTGCTGCAGTTCGGACATCCGCAACCCTTAACCCAAAAAGATTTTCCTAACTTTGATATTATATAAATAACTATTAGGGTGTGTTTAATTACATTTATTTTTCATGGAAAATATCAGTTTTCCACCCAAATTCCTACTTGGAGTGTTTGATTGCTATTTTTTTCCATGGAAAACATTTTCCAACTTTTAAAAATATGCCTAATTTTCCTTGTTTTTAAGGAAAACATTTTCCTTGGGTAGAGGTGGTTTTTATTTTCCACAAAAGATGGAAGATATTTTCTTTTCTAGGTGATATTTTTCATGTCAATCAAACACACTCTTAGAGAATTAAAGATTTCGTGAAAGAAGTGTGTTTTGAGTGTAATTTTGCTACTGTTGTTACTCAATTAAAAAATTTGATAGTATGAGATAATGTTTTCTTTTGATCTAAAAATAAGCCGTCTTTATTTCTGATCCTCATTTTGTTATTTGACCTCAGATATCTTCAGCTAAGCTTGTTGTAGTTTCTGAACATAGTTTTAAATCATTTTGATTTATTGAAGCTGTTCAGTGTCTTTCAGTATTTTTAGTAAAAGCTAGGCGTTATGAAGTTTTATTCTTTTTCATTTGTGGTCATTGTTAGTTAAGAACAGCATGGAGCTACTAGAAATTTTGGCCTATGTATTCTTTACCTGAGTTAACTATCCTCTCACTAATGTCTTGAAACTGCAGGTGTGAATCTTGTCATGGTCAGGCAGAGAGGCTTCTTGATTCAGCGAAAGAAATGGAAGATTCCATTGCAGTCAACCTTAGGTTAATTGCCAACCCTTCTCTTTTTCCATCTATTTTTTTTATCTACAAACTGAATTTTAAAAGAAAACATTGGTGCTACTTGAAGCAATGGCATCAGCTGTCCCATTATGTCTTTCATCATGCTACAATGATTTAAGTTGTTCACTCAATTTATATTCTCTTATCAGAGTTCAAGAAAAAAATATTTAAGCTGTTAACATTTCTTTAAATTTATCTAAGAATGCAAGAAATGAAAAATAAGGTAGTACATATAAGTCTGTTAATTCTGCAAATATACTTGGAAATTAATGGAGAATTTGGTTGTTTTTGTGAACTTTGGGTTTAAAATATGAAATATTTTAGATTATTGAGGGTAGCATTTAATCAAAAATATCAGTGAACTTCATTTGTCGTAGGAGTTATCCAGTAGTACGCTAGTCATTTATCTTACTATGAGCATCTTTAAACAATATATGCTTTCTTGGTTCATTCCCAACAACTATTCTATTCAAAACTTAGGGATCTTTCCATTATTTACTGATGGCCTTTTCTCTTATCAGCTCTCGGAGGCTTGAGGTAAGCAGAGTGGAACTTCTTCTTCAGGTTGGGACATTTTGTATTGCAGTTGGTGCTCTAGTTGCAGGTAACGAGCTCTCTATGAATAAACTAAAATGGTTATTATTTGAATGATTAACAACTTTTGTTTGGTTAAATTTCATGTACATGTACTATTAGGATACTTGACATGTCTGTAACTATTTACTTTAAGAACAATGTCATAGCATACAGAGTGATGTAATTTTCTAATTAACATGACTCTTTAGGCACAAGTTTGAGGCCCTCCATAGCTCCACTCTCAAGCGGGTTCTATAATTTGACACTATGCTGAGACTTTAAATATTAGGCGATATATAGAACCCGATATAAGTATATGGTGTCTGTCTCTGGTCTTTCGCTCGATATCTTTTATCCACTTAACCTCCCTACACAATTTCAAATTTTTCCTACAAGTAACTAATTTTTTTCTCATCTTTTTCGCATCACTTTTCAAATATAAGTATATAATTTTATTATATATTTTACTAAATCTTTGATACCTTGCATTAAAATCATTTATTAACTGAACATTACCGAGTAAATGTACTGATGAACTTTGTCAATTTCTAGGTAATCTTTGAATTTTTTGACTCTTAGTGGCCCTACCAGACTGGCAAAGAATTTGACACTAGCTTCTTTGTGGTCGCTTAGAGTAGTTAAGAAGAACAGTTACATTTGAGAAAATATTTTGCTCATCTTACAACATTCTAGGTTAACTCTTAATTCTATTTATTTCGTTTTACCTCAAATCTGTTCTGTACTTTCATAGTTTTTGCAGTGTTACTAAAATATTATGGCTTAATCAAATTTGAGAAGTGAACAATGGTAATCAATCAAATTACAAATTGAGATTATCCCAATGTTTGATTATGCCATTCTAATGAAAATTGAACATCAATCTTCCTCAAACCTTGAAATCATATAATGTCATCCTCATGCATATAGAAGCTACCGAGGCTCATAAAAACATTGGCTACAGGTATATTTGGCATGAACTTGAAGTCCTACCTTGAGGAGCGTGCGGTATGTCCTTTGGGACTCTATTTATATGCCAGTGTTTCTTTTCTTAATGTTTGGCTTATGTTTGCTTTCTAATCTTATTCACTTCGTCACATTTTGGCTCCGCAGTTTGCATTTTGGATAACAACTACAGGAATTATTGTTGGTGCAGTAGTTGCATTTTTTATATTGTATTCATACCTTAGGAAAAGGAAAATACTATAAACACGAGAACGAGTAAGTTACACCCCCTTCTTCATCTTGTTATACTATGAACATTTTCATTCCACTGCGACAGATGGTTATACACACAGCAGTGTCGTCGTTTTTATAGGGAACAATGGATACTGCTGAGCAAGGAGAAATGGAGAGAGAAATTAGCTAAAGATCAACTGTGTTTCTATATCTATATCACAAGTTGATGGCTCCTTGCTACATAGAGACCAAATTCAACAACCAACACATCCCTTTTCGCATACAGTATTTTCTGGACTATAATCGTATTGAGTTATTAGGCTGTCTATGTTGTGGAGAGCTTCCACTACAAGAGTTGAAGTAGGCGTTCCTTTATTTGCCTCCATCCAAATTTTACAGTTATTTGGAAGCGAGGTCATAGTCCCGTCTACTTATTATAAGTTGCTCATGCAATGACAGTGTAGATGTTGGCTTTTGAATAGGCAGAGTTGAGTTTGTTTGACTGGACTCGAATTGCAATTTACCACCATTACATATGCAATCTTCTTGTTTTGTACATGTTTATGATCAATATGCTAACAAGTCATTCACTGTTATTTTGCATATAATGCTACTGGTGCTCATTAGTATATGAAATACGTTCAATTAAATGTGAAATTATGTGAATCATTTAATTGAATATTTTATTTAATGATACTTAATGTCACCTAGACTGATGGTGCTAAAAGAATGAATAATGTTATGTAGTTCAATTGAGGTAGCAATCACAATCTAGATGATACTAGATGATTGGTTAAATGAAAAGTGAAATTAAATTAATCATTTCATTCTACCTATCAATTAATGTCACATTAACATCATCTAAATTGAAATTACATCCTCGGTGGGCAAAATAACATTACTTTAAAAGATTCACTCATCTTGAAATAATTTTGAAAAAAATTATAATCCCATATTTTTACTAGATTTTTTAAGTATGAAAAAAATATTTTTTTTTTATATGAATCGAATATTTTATTACATAGAAATTTTTTATTGATAACCTGCAGAATGTTTGTACATCACAAACAAAAAAATGAGAAATAAAAAACATTTTAATTAGAAATTTTAAAATAAAAATGTAAACACTTGAGCATCAACAACTTTATTGTTAATAATTTTTAAGT